CAGCTTCGCGGGGGGGGGGCGGGGATGGAGACGGCAGTCCGCGCCTGGTTGGCCAAGCTAGCGCCCGTTGTCTTCAGTCCCACAACGGGCCTTCTGACTAGTCCTAAATAAGAACAAACCATGACAGACGAATGATAACTACTCCCAAATGCAAATTCTGTATAATTTCCACATAAGTAGTGCAAAACATGCCAAGTTATTCAGTGCGTAGCATAAAAAAACACAACCTCTGTCTGGGTATCCATTTGAAAAGATTCACTCAATAGCGTTAAGTCCTTATTACAAAAACTGATGAAAGGGAAGGGGTCTCCTGAGGAGTAAGGGATGCATTCGGCATACACAAACCGTCGCAGCTTCGAATCCTTTTGAGAAAGCGTCCTGCGTTCAAATCGAGGCAGCTTCCGATCCTGTTGGTCACCGCCCCTGCCGCACGGACGCCTGCTTGAAGCTATGTTTTGACAGACTTTTTCACGGCAGGAAAAAGTACACCACGTTCCTTTCAAGTTGATAGCTGCAGAATGAACATAACATTTCTGATGCTGCTTCCTTCCCTGTTGTTACTCAGTCCTTGGGGGGGGGGGTGTTAAAATAAGACAGTACTCATATATAAGGTTGCACTGATTTCCACCAGTTCCCCTGCCCACCGGGTGCTGATACTCTGTACCAGTGAGTACTGGCAGCCTTCAAGCAGTGGCTGGACAAACACTTTTGCCAGGGGTGCTCTAGGCTGATCCTGCACTGAGCAGGGGGTTGGACTGGATGGCCTCTGTGGCCCCTTCCAACTCCAGGTAAATGCAAAGGTTCCCTTGCTCGAAAGCCTGTCGAATCCGCCTCTAGGGTTGCGGTGCTCATCTCCGTTTCAAAGCCGAAGAGCCAGCGCTGGCCAAAGACATTTCCGTGGTCATGTGGCCGACATGACTAAACACCAAGGCGCACGGAATGCTGTTACCTTCCCACTGAAGTGGTACCTATTTATCTACTTGCAGTTTCTTGCTTTCAAACTGCTAGGTTGGCAGGAGCTGGAACTAGAGACGGGAGCTCACTCTGTCACGCGGCACACTCGGGTCTCGAACTGCTGAACTACCGACCTTCCACAGCCTGCAGTTCAGCGTCTTAACCACTTGAGCCACCGCAGCTCCTACTCCAACTCCATGAGTCTGTGATTATTTTCTTCCCACCATGCGATACTTCCCCTGCTTGAGTTCTGTTTATTTATATGCTGCTTGACCGCACCATTTCTTCCCTCTTCCGTTTTAGCCTCGTAAGGTTAGGCGGAGAGAGTGCGACGGGCCCTAGGTCTCCTAGCGAGCTTCCACGGCACGAGTGGGGATTCGAACCCAGGCCTCCCAGGCCTTCGTTTCACACTCTGACGAATGTACCACGTTGATTAAAAGTACCAGAGCAGGCCAGCGCAGGAGACGAGGTTTAAGGTTAATGAGGGAAGTGCATGGCGAAGTATAATATAGTATTAATCGTGTGCCATCAAGTCACAACTGACACACGGTGACCCCAGGACCATGTGGCTTTCAAGGCAAGAGACATTCAGAGGTGGTTTGCTATTGCCTGCCTCTGCATAGCGACCCTGAACTTCCTTGGTGGTCCTTTCTCCCTTTCTCGTCTTCCTTCGAAGAAAGGTTCAAGCGCTTGGGGCTCTTTAGCTTGGAGAAACAACGGCTGAGGAGTGACATGATCGAGGTTTATAAGATTAGGCACGGGATAGAGCAGGTAGAGAAAGAGGTACTTTTCTCCCTTTCTTACAATACAAGAACTCGTGGGCACTCCATGAAATTGCTGAGCGGTCGGGTTAGAACGGATAAAAGGAAGTCCTTCTTCACCCAAAGAGTCATTAACACATGGAATTCACTGCCACGGGAGGTCGCGGCGGCTACAAGGGTGGACGACTTCAAGGGGGAATTAGGTAAACATACGGAGCGGAGGTCCATCAGTGGCTCTTAGCCACAAGGTCTAGATAGGAACTCTTGCTCTGGGGCAAGTGATGCTCTGTATTCTTGGTGCTTGGGGCGGGGGCGACAGTGGGAGGGCTTCTAGTGTCCTGGCCCCACTGGTGGACCTCCTGAGGGCACCTGGTATTTTTGGCCACTGTGTGACAGAGTGTTGGACTGGATGGGCCATTGGCCTGATCCAACATTGGCTTCTCTTATGTTCTTATGTTCTTCGGTTCGACCCTGCTTAGCTCTCAAGAAATGATGAGATCAGGCTAGCCTGGGCCATCCAGGCGAGGGCAAGAGATGTTCAGGGGTGGTTTGCCCTTCCTTGCCTCTGCGTAGCAACCCCAGCTTTCCTTGGTGGTCTCCCATCCAAGTATTAACCGGGGCCACCCTGCTGAGCTTCCGAGATCTGACGAGATCAGGCTGACCTGGGCCGTCTTGGTCAAGGCAAGAGACGGACAGAGGTGGTCTGCCGCTCTCTGCTTCTGCGTAGCAACCCTGGACTTCCTTGGTGGTTTCCCATCCAAGGACTAACCGACAACCCTGCTTAGCTTCCAAGCTCCGACCAGAGGCTGCGACACATACTGGAGGCGAAGGGAGTAACAACCGGTGACGGTCGCATTCTCACCTCTGCTGCTAGGTCCTGAGGAGGTTGTGATTTCATAGGGGAGAAGTAGGGGGGAGTCTTTGTAAGGGGAGTTTCCAGCCCCTTTCTGCACCCACCCTCCTACTGGGTCTTTTGAGATCCGTCCCCCTCTTTGGCCACGATTATGTAGCTTCTCGGCATGTCAGACAGATGTCTTGACCTCCCCTTTGAACTGAGAATGGATTCCTGGGTTGATCCCGTTAACCGTCTCCTGTTTGGTGTAGTGGTTAGGTGTGTGAACTCTAATCTGGGAGAACCGGGTTTGATTCCCCACTCCTCCACTCGCAGCTGCTGGATGACCTTGGGTCAGCCACATCTCAGCACTGTTCTCTCAAGAGCAGTTCTCTCAGAGCTCTCTCAGCCCTCAGCTGAGTGCCCCACCTCCCTCACAGGGCATCTGTTGTGGGGAGGAAAAGGGAAAGGAGTTTGTAAGCCGCTCTGAGACTCCCTTGGGTAGTGAAGGGCGGGGTATAAATCCAATCCCTTCTTCTTCTTCTTTTACCTCACAGGGCGTCTGTTGTGGGGAGGGGAAGGGAAAGGAGTTTGTAAGCCGCTCTGAGACTCCCTTGGGTAGTGAAGGGCGGGGTATAAATCCAATCCCTTCTTCTTCTTCTTTTACCTCACAGGGCGTCTGTTGTGGGGAGGGGAAGGGAAAGGAGTTTGTAAGCCGCTCTGAGACTCCCTTGGGTAGTGAAGGGCGGGGTATAAATCCAATCCCTTCTTCTTCTTCTTTTACCTCACAGGGCGTCTGTTGTGGGGAGGGGAAGGGAAAGGAGTTTGTAAGCCGCTCTGAGACTCCGAGTGAAGGGTGGGTTATAAATCCAGTCTCCTCTTCTTCTTCCTGCAGATACTTCCGCTTCCTCCTGACCCTGCTGAGCGCCGCGCTGGTCACTCTGATCTTCCTGGGGTTCATCTGGGCGGCGGAGAACAAGGCCCCCGTGCGGCGCTTCCGGCGCAACTATCCCGGCACCTGCCTCCTCACAGTCCTGGGCTCTGCATACTTCCTGGTGTCTCTCTTTGATGGTTCGGCTGTCTTCCTGGTCTTCCTTGCTCTGCCCATCGCCTGTGAGTCCTAAACTGGGAGCAGGGAGGGGGCTGTACCAGCCAGGGGGAGGAGAACTGGGGATGGAGCAGGCCTGTAGTTACAGCGGGGCATCTCAGGGCATGGCCCCCTGACTTAAAGGGGTGCCCTCCCCGGACTTCCCCTGCAGCCCAGGTGCTCCCTTGGGGGGTGCGTGCAAGGGGTGCCCCCTATTTAAAGCCCCCCTGAATTTAAAAGAATCCTGGCTACGGGCCTGGAGTGGAGCCTGGTGGGGGCGGAGTTTAGAGAGAACATAAGAACATAAGAGATGCCAATGTTGGATCAGGCCAGTTGCCCATCCAGTCCAACACTCTGAGTCACACAGTGGCCAGAAATACCAGGTGCCATCAGGAGGTCCACCAGTGGGGCCAGGACACTAGAAGCCCTCCCACTGTTCACCCCCCCAAGCACCAAGAAGACAGAGCATCACTTGCCCCAGACCGAGAGGAGAGTCACCTCCGCAGGGTATACGGCTGTAGAGTCCATCCTCCAAAGGAACCTTTTTCTTCCAGGGGAACAGGTCTCTTGCCAGTTGGGATCTTCTGCCGTACAGAGCGCGCATGTTGCAATAATGTCGCCTTGAAGTGACGTCATAGCATTGCCGGCGTCAGGGGGTGAGTTTTGGGCAAAACTCTGTGGGTTTTTCGCCCTCAGGACCATAGAGTTTGCCCAACAGCTAGAGCTTCACCCCTCCACACATTGGCAACACAATGATGTCACTTCCGGGTGACCGCGCAATGTCCCTCTTGGGGGTGGGGCTTCTCCCGCCGGCCAGTAGACCGGAGGCAGATTGGAGCCCAAAAACCAGGGGGTCCCTTGGCCGGACCCAACCCTAGTTGGGCATTATCCCAGTTTGTTGTAGTGGTTAAGTGCACGGACTCTAATCTGGGAGAACCGGGTTTGATTCCCCACTCCTCCACTTGCACCTGGCTGGATGACCCTTAGGCAAGCCATAGTTCTGATAAGAGCTGTTCTTGAAAAAGAGCAGTTTCTGTCAAGAGCTCTCTCAGCCCCACCTCCCTCACAGGGTGTCTGTTGTGGGGAGGGGAAGGGAAAGGAGATTGTAAGCCGCTCTGAGACTCCTTTGGGTAGTGAAGGGCAGGGTATAAATCCAATCTCTTCTTCTTCTTTTACTACCTCACAGGGTGTCTGTTGTGGGGAGGGGAAGGGAAAGGAGCTTGTAAGCCGCTCTGAGACTCCTCTGGGTAGTGAAGGGCAGGGTATCAATCCAATCTCTTCTTCTCCTTTTACCTCACAGGGTGTCTGTTGTGGGGAGGGGAAGAGAAAGGAGTTTGTGAGCCGCTCTGAGACTCCTTCGGGTAGTTAAAGGCAGTGTATAAATCCAACCTCTTCTTCTTCGTCTTTATCCTTGCACCACCTTGTAAGGTAGGCTAAGCTGAAAAGAGTGACTTTGATGGACCAAGGGTAGCAGGAGTATCCATTCTTCCGCCCCCCACCCGCCCGTACTCTCCAGTGGGAGAAGTCTGTAACAGGAGGACATAAGACGGTTTCCCGTTTCTGCCGTTATTGCTAAACTTCTGCCTTGTTTCCCCGCCCCCACCCCTTTCCCGCAGTGGTCCTCCTCCACGCCTCCCTACGTCTCCGCAATCTCAAGAACAAGATCGAGAACAAGATCGAGAGCATCGGCTTGAAGCGGACACCCATGGGGCTGCTTCTGGAAGCTCTCGGGCAGGAACAGGAAGCCGGATCCTAAGCGCCGTCGATCCGTTTCCTCCCTTCCTCTGGAAACGTCACCTTCCCCGCCATTGACTGTCGACATCTTCCCACCCTGTTGCTGTCTGTTCACTTGACCCATTCTAGCGGCTTGGCTATGAGCTTGTGTCAAAGATGCCCTATCCCCTGGGAATTCTTGCGAATCACCAGTGGAACTCCCCGACTCGAAGCGCAGAGGGGTGAGACTTAATGGAGAGCAGAAGGGGCGGGCGGCGTTCGTATCCGACCGTGAGCATCGACTCTTGGGATGGTTCCCCGTCTGATCTTGGGGGTCGTCTTGCTGGAAGCAAGCGAATAAGGATATCTGTAGCAGTGAATAGGAATGTTGAAGGAGCAGATAAGAATACTGAAAAGGCAGTATTTTTTTAAATTGGCTGTAAAAAGTTAGCCTGTGGGACTCTCGACACTTGATTTTTTAAAATCACGTATGAAGACTTAATCCTAGAGCAAAGAGTTGTCAGTTAGCGAGCTGAAAAGGCAGTCTGGTCCATGGCGTTCCAATGAATAATTATTCCTAGCATTTAGGTAGTCTTTTCCAGTGTTCGGAAGTGCTCCACATGCGTTAGCATCTTGTAACACTCACAACGGCCCTGTAAAGGAGGGCAGTGGTGGTATTTGTGTGTGTGGGGGGAGAAGGATTTAGGCTTGCCTAAACCCATCTAGGAATTCTGTGGCAGGGACAAAGTCTGGTTCGTAGTTTAGTCTCAGCCCCCGCACTGTACCCGTTCTTCTGTAAAGGCTCTGGCCTCTGGGTTTTATAGAGAGGATGTCCTTTCAGCAAGATTTCCTGTTGGAGCAAAGATAGGTAGGCTCCGGGGGGGGGGGGGAAAAAAGATGACCAAGCTCAGTGTTCACACGAAAGCCAGCCGTCCAATCACCCGTAGGTTTCACTTCCTTTATGCTTCAGCGCGGAGGTGAAACTCCAAAGTGCGGAAGCAACGTGCCACCGACATCATCCCTGCTGCAAGCGATTCCCGTGTTGTGTACCGTTTGCGGGGAGGAGGGGAACGGAAGAGCCCCGCCCATTTCCAGAGGCAGAGTCCGGAACACCCCCTCCGTCCCTCTGCATGCCTGTCCCACCCGGTCCGTGTTCAGATCCCGTCCGTAAAACGTCAGAGAACGGGACCAACGGGCAGAGTAGCCCTGGACGGCCTCAAAGAGTCCAATCTGGGCTGGGGGCCTGGGGGGTTAGGAAGTGAATGAAGACACTTCCTCAGGGGTCCAGAAACATTGCCAAAAAAAGATGGGGCCAGAGTGCCGCACCCATCCTTATCTGTCTGTACCGGCCTGGTATTGATTTGGTCATGGAAGGGGGTGGGATTCGTAATAGAACCCTGTGTCCTGTTTGTTTGTTTTTTGTTACAAAAAGTGTTACAGCTTGGCAAAAAAAACCCTGCTGTGGAAGATTCTTTTGTTTTAGGGGGAATGGGGTCTTCGCTGGACTTGTGTGGCCGAATGAATGAATGAATGATGAAGAAGGTTTGAGGAGGGAAGAAGCAAAATTGGACTCCTTGCCTTCGTGAAAGTTGCATGAATTGCTGCCCCTTTAAGGCTTACTTTCTGGGCAGGATGCTAACAGTGCCACGTGATGCGGCGTTATCGAAGCCCGTTAAAACCAAGCGTTGTGGCTCCATATGAAACCAGTGGCAGTAACTGCAGAAGATTGCGCTAGAAACTTCCTTCTGTCTCCCCAAGCTGTAACCAAGTCCAGCTCTGGAGGGCCAAAAACAGGGCAGAGAGGCCGAAGCCTTCCCTTCATAAGAACACCAGAAGAGCCCTGCTGGATCAGACCAGTGGTCCATCTAGGCCTGCATCTTGTCTCACACAGTGGCCAGCCAGTTCCTCTGGAGATGCCAACAACAGGGCACAGAGGCTGAGGCCTTCATAACAACATCAGAAGAGCCCTGTTGGATCAGACCAGTGAGGATCTATCTAGTCCAGCATCCTGTCATACAGAGTGGCCAGCCAGTTCTTCTGGAGGGCCAACAACAGGGCATAGAGGCCGAGGCCTTCATAAAAGTGTCCTGCTGGATCAGAACAGTCGTTCATCTAGTCCAGCATCCTGTCATACAGAGTGGCCAGCCAGTTCTTCTGGAGGGCCAACAACAGGGCATAGAGGCCGAGGCCTTCATAAAAGTGTCCTGCTGGATCAGAACAGTCGTTCATCTAGTCCAGCATCCTGTCATACAGAGTGGCCAGCCAGTTCTTCTGGAGGGCCAACAACAGGGCATAGAGGCCGAGGCCTTCATAAAAGTGTCCTGCTGGATCAGAACAGTCGTTCATCTAGTCCAGCATCCTGTCGCATACAGTGGCTGACCAGTTCCTCTGGAGGGCCATCGACAGGGCACTGCAGCCAATGCCTTCCCCTGATGTTGCTTCCCAGCACTGGTGTTCAAAGACTTCATTGCCTCTGAATGTGGAGATTCCCTTGAGTCACCATGGCTAGTAATTATGGATGAATAGCAAGGCAACTGCTACCGTACTTAGCATTTTTGTAGGATGTCACTGTTTTTGAAGTACATGCAAACCAAAAGAGTTCGGTGGGGAAACCCAGCCCAAAGAAACAACAAAGTTTGGCACCCAAAGGTTAGGTAAGAGAAAAGTATGAGAAATAAATCAAACAAAATAGTGCACTAAAACTCTCCTTTAAAAACATAGGCACCGTCTGCACTTGAAGTAGTGAATATTTGAACTTAGAAGTCCTGAATCTATATAACATGGTACAATTCAATATCTCTAGGTTAAGAGCCTTGAACCAATAAAACAGGACCAACGATTCAGTATCTCTTGGTCGATCACCTTGAACCACATAAAAACAGGACCAAACACATTTTGGCCTCCAAGGCCTTCCTCAGTGGTCAAATTATTGAATACGTGCACACTATAACACATAAACATGTATTAGTGCCAAGACAGTTTGATTATAAGGCATTGCAAATAATTTTGTGTGTGGCAAAAGAATTAGGTTGTATGAAAAGTTTCCTGGTACTTCTAAGCACACATCCAGGGAATGCAGATTCAATAACTCCTTCTGACCATGGCTATCCAAACTCTCGGAGTGTGCATATATGTATCAACCTTTAACTGACAGTCTGATTTTGAAGCACACACATGTTTTTGAAGCACACACATCATCATGAGAGCCACTTTGGTGTGGTGGTTAAGAGCATGGACTCTAATCTGGGAAAACCAGGTTTGATTCCCTACTCCTCCACATGCAACTGCTGGCATGACCTTGAGTCAGTCAGAGTTCTCTCAGAGCTGTTCTCTCAGGAGCAGTCCTTGAGAGAGCTCTCTCAGCCCCACCTACCTCACAGGGTGTCTGTTGTGGGGAGAGGAAGGGAAGGAGATTGTAAGCCGCTCTGAGACTCCTTTGGATACTAATAGGGTTGCCAAGTCCTACCTTAAGCCGCAGCGGGGGACTCCCGGCTTGCTCTGGGAGCGCGCGCGCACGCCGTCAGCACGTCACCCGGAAGTGATGTGGGCGCGCCTCTGGGGTGGGGGTTTCCTCGCCCCCCGGGGGGACTTGGCAAGCCTAGATACTGAAGGGTGGGGTATAAATTCAGCCTTACACTAGCCCTGTAATGTAGGCTGCATTATTTAGTAAAGTGGTTCCATTTTGTGGCTGACATACTGGAAACCCAAATTGGGAGTAGGAAAGGCCTACTCTTGCAGGAAAAGTGTGTTTTGGGTGGTTTTTTTAAACGAGACCTCATATGAAGCTCATGAGCACATATGAAGCTACCTTAATACTGACTCAGACCATCGGTCCGTCGAGAAGAACAAGAGTTGGTTTTTATACCCCGCTTTTCTCTACCCTGAGGTGTCTCAAAGTGGCTTTCGATTGTCTCCCCCCCACAACTGTCCCCTTGTGAGGTAGGTGAGGCTGAGAAGAATTCTGATTGAACTGTGACTGACCAAAGGTTACCCAGCAGGCTTCCTGTGGAGGAGTGGGGAATCGAACCTGCTTCTCCACCTGTGACTGACAAAAGGTTCCCCAGCAGGCTTCCTGTGGAGGAGTGGGGAATCGAACCTGCTTCTCCCGATTAGAGTCCGCCGTGCTCCACCACGACACCGTGCTGTCTCTCCATCAAGTTCAGTACTTTCTGCTCAGACTGGCAGCAGCTCTCCAGGTAGTTAGGAGATCTTTCCACATCACCTTCGGCCTGGCCCGTTTAACTGGCAATGCCGGGTGTCGGAACTGGGACTTTCTGTATGCCAAGCCAATGCTCTGCCACCGAGCCACGGCCCTCCTCTCCAGTGGCTCCATCCACGGGAGGCTCAAGCAGCTAACACTGCTTCCAGTTTCGTCCAGCCAAACCAAAGATACAGGGGCGTTTCCAGTCCTATCTGTTAAATCAGCACCAGAGGCTATTGCTGGGGGAGGGGAGGGTGAATTAGTCTGCCCTCCAATGTTCCCTCTAAGCCGTGGAGCCTTGTGAGCAAAAATTCTACTTCATGAGCTGCCGGCATTAAAGTTGTGAGTGAGCGATTTGACTGCTGCATAAATGAGTTGGTTCTGGAGCCATCCTTCCTGAGCTGAGACAAAAATATGTGAGCCAGAGGCCAAAAAACTGAACTAGCTCACACTAACTCAGCTTAGAGGGAACACTACCTGTGGCACTCGTGTCATGGGTTCCAGAAGGTTCTGGACTGCCCCCCCCCCATTCTGTTTAACATCCCCGAGAAGTCTGGGGTGGGGGGGATAGGACATTTAGGGTACTGTAGCACTTGCATAAAGGCGATTGACAGGCCGTTACCTGAGGCAGTGGAAGCCCTGAACCAGGATGAGGCCCAGTAAATGGAAGCTCTATTCCAACCGGACTGTCGGTTGGCAATATGACTAACGGAGGTCCACGGAGTCCGCCTGTTCTCAACAGGGCTATCCTCCTAAGGCAGCAAGCTTTATATGGGTCAAATTGGGGGTGCCGTTAGGCCTACAGAGAGAGGTTCAGTTCTCTTCTGTGGCACGGAGCACAGCCTTTATTCAGAACAGATCTGGCGACAGCTATCCACGCGCTGACCACATCAAGATTAGACTACTGCAATGCATTTTACTTGGAGCTGCCCTTGAGGACTGTTCAAAGGCTGAAATTAGTGCACAGTATAGCAGGGAGATTGCTGACTGGTGTGGGATATCGGGCATTCTTTGGGCCATTTTAAAAGAGGATCACAGCTGCCTGTTCACTTCCGGGCACAAGTGTTGCTTATTTTCGTTTTGTCTGTGCAAGTGCTGGTTATTACCTCTTGAATGTTTAAGATGATGTTTTGCTCGTTCCCATATACACCCGCCTGACAACCACAGTTTTCAAGTTAGGCCATTTTCTGGGTGACCGTCAGCAGAAAGGCAGGTGGACATCAACACTTCGCCTCTGAAACTATCTTCCCACAGAAACCATTGCTTATCAACGCTCCCCCTAAGCTGTGGAGTCTTGTGAGCAAAAATTCTACTTTGTGAGCTACTGGCATTAAAGCTGCGAGCAAGAGATTTGGCTGCTGCATCAGTTAGTTTGCTCCGGAGCCGTCCTCCCTGAGCTAAGACAAAAATGTGTGAGCTGGAGGCTAAAAAACTGAGCTGGCTCACACAGCTTAGAGGGAACACTGGTAGCTACCTAGTCTGGATAGTCTCCAGGGCTGGGTAAAAATCTCTTATTTTTTCAAGGCGTTTAGATTTCTTCTTGCCTGGTTTCATCTTGACAATACTTTTAATTGTTTTAGCTGATGTTATTTTTAATAACGACTGTGCTAGGTTTGGTGCTTGATGCTTCTAGATGTATTGCTTTTAGGTAAAGGTTAAGGTTCCCTTGCTCGAAAGCCAGTTGAATCCGACTCTAGGGTTGCGGTGCTCATCTCCGTTTCAAAGCCGAAGAGCCAGCGCTGTCCGAAGACATTTCCGTGGTCATGTGGCCGGCATGACTAAACACCAAGGCGCACGGAACACTGTTACCTTCCC